ATTTTTTTCAAAACTTAACATTAAATTTTAAATGAGGTGCTAATATGAAACAAAAACTAAATTTTAAGTACGGTTTTTAAAAAATAGAAGTTTAAGCACTAAAACTGATAGTTTAAGTACTAAACACAAATTTACCCGAAAAATTTTTTGGGGAAAAAACTCTTTCAATCATGCATTACTTAGGCATTAGGATGTTATAAAAAAAATAAAAAAATAAATTAAAGTGTGATATTAACTGTTAAGCACCCTATGATTTTATCATTTTATAATAATTAAGCCTAATCAAATTTTGGATTTACTCAACAAATGGGGTTAGGTAAAATCATGGTATTTTTTTAATACAATCATAATCATGGATAGACCTAGGAGAGACGGGTGAGGCAGTCCCTTAAAATTATAAAATTATTATATATTTTAGTTTTTTATGTATTTTTTATTGAAAATATGTTTTTACGTTTATAATTTTATAAGTTAAGTTTGTCCCTAAAATTTTATAAGTTCGAGATCGCCCTAACATAAAATTTTACGTCGTCCTGACTATGATTATATTTATTCGAAACTAACATGGCACAATAAAATTAACCAAAATACGATATAAAACATAATGTAAATGAAAATAATATAAATATAAAAATTATTAAAATTAACATATTTAATATTCGTCGTAAAATATATATTTAACATAATATTTATCTATTTTAACAATGTCTCAAAGCTAAGCTAAGCTACAACAAATAGTGGCCTGTGTAGAATCCAACATTCCCTGACGAGGGTCATTGTCTATACGAAAATTTAAGGGTAAATTATAAATTCACTATTTTAACTTTATTCTAACTCTTATTTTAGTCACTAAACTTTAAACATTTTAATTTAATCATCAAACTTTTGATATACTCCGATAGATACTTAAAGACACTTTGATCGATACATTATTCTTTTAAAAGCTATGAAATGACCCTAAAATAATTCTTATTTTTTTATGAATTTTTTTTATTTCTCGACGATAAAATATCTTCTTTCAAATTCGAATGATGGAGAGGTGAAGGAGGGAGAAACATGTTATATATCATGATTCCACACTGATCAAATGGTAGATATTATAAGTCATAGCGATTTGGGATTTCACTAGTTTTTTGTTAGAGTTGAGTTTTAAAATGATTTAGGTAAGCTGATAGGAGGTAAGAGATACTGAGGTGAGTTCACTGATATCTTGAATGATCGAAGAAGACGTCAAAAAATAATAATTATAACGACGAGATGATACAAAGATTAAACTACAAAAAAATAATCTTTGGAGGAAGAATTAATTTTAAAATAAAAAATAAAAGAAAGGGAAAATGACGTTGACAACACATATATTTCATGTCTATAAAATCAGTACATGCAATTGTTATAACACCTTTTCATTTATGATTTAGGATAAATTACGTATCTAGTATCTAAATTATCAATTTTTATTTATTTTAGTATCTAAACTTTTAATTTTTTTTCAAAACCATACATAAAGTTAGTTTTTGTTTCATTTTAGCATATTACCTTTAAAAATTTTAGTTTTTGTTTCATTTTAGTACACCATTCAAAAATTAACATTAAGTTTTGAAAAGATTAAAAGTTTATGTACTAAAACGAATCAAAAGAGATAATTTAGGTACTAAACGCTTTAAGTTTTTAACGACGATGCACAAAAATGAAATGAAAACTAAATGTTAAACATGGTTTTAAAGAAAATTAAAAATTTAGATACTAAAACAGACCAAAACTAATAGCTTAATACTAAATACGAAATTACCCTATGATTTAACACCTCAAATGATCAAAATAAAAACATATTGAAGGTTTAATGAATGAATTAAAAAAGTGAGGATCTCGTGGGGTATGATCCTCGAGATTGTTGAGGCAATAGCTCCTCGTGAGATCTTTGCTATGTTGTATCAATTATTATTACCCTTTTTCCTTTTTTTAATGTTATTATTATTATTATTATTATTATATTTGTCCTCTTAGTCAAACTCACTGTCCCGTCTTTCAATCCTACATAACCGAAAGTTAATTTCACTTAAAATTTAAATTATAAAACAAAATTCAAATAATTTGGATAATCCGAAATTTTTAATAATTGAGTTAAGTTTTTCATGGTATATATTACATATAAAGAAATATCAATAAATATATATGTATATCGTCATGGATGGATAGGGGATACAAGCGGGTGGGGAAGTCGTTCTCTTAAAAATTTAAAATTATTATATATTTTAGATTTTTTTATTTATTTATATTGAAAATAGTATTCGTCCCTAATAATTTTAGTTAGTCCCTATGGGTTTAGGGTTGTCCCCTAATATAAAATCTTGATTCGTCCATGCATATCATATATGATTATAGAAAGTCATTTACATCAAAACTAATTAGGATTATAATATTATAAATATTTATAATTAAATTAAAAATAAACTCGATAATTCAACATGACTCGACTAATTTTTTAAAAATTACAAAATACTACCAAGAAGTTACTATAAATGCTTATATTTTCTCAGTACGTAGAAAATACAAAGTTCTAATAAAACGAAAATTCTAAGGAACGACAATCTAATTTAAGGTTAACAAACGATAAAGAATAGATATAACTGAAAATGTGATTAAAAAACATAATATTTTTTGTTGCCCGTAACTTACAATGTTGACTTTTCTAAACATTTCATTTTAATTAAAAATATTAGAAAAATTAATATTTTAAGTTAAATATAACTAAAAATATTACGATTTTTTTACATTTTCGATTACATACATTTTTATCATTTTTTAACCTTAAATTATATTAACAAAGAATTACTTCTAACAAAATTGAAATCATAGGATTGGAAGCAAAGGTGATGATGGCTTATTTTCGATACACGTGCAGTGCAGACCCATCAAGTATAGTTGACTTCATTTTTACACAAATTTCCCCCTTTGAATGTTGAAGGGAAAATCTATGGCTCGGTGCAAATTCATCATGATTTTACGAAATGAAAAGTTGATCGGACATGAAAGGTTTACTACAAAGAACACCCACTTGATAGGAACATCTTACTTCAAGACCAATCCAAACCGTTGTCCTTGTATAGAAATAGACATTTCAAGCGTATAGACTCACCATGGTTAGTGTTGGTAGGAGAAATGAAAATACGATAACTTCTTGTTTATCGTCTCTTTAATTTGGATGAAGAATTTTACATATGATTGTTTAGTATAGAGACAAGAGAGAATAAACGGGTTGAATCGTCGAGAGGACTTTATATAGTTCTATGTTGATTTATATACAAACTTTTAGTGTTGGTGTCAAGTCTAAGGTGATTATGACTATGTATATGTTGATCGGATGAACATATCCAATTGTCAGATGATAGATTTAGTTGAATATATCATAATATATAATTCGAAAAATATCTACGTACTTCTTCAAATTGCGAATTGGTCGTATAAGCATCGGTGTCACATGTCATGTACATTTCAATGTTGATGTGGTTGGAGAGCCAATTAACCAAAATACCATGAAAGAAACTACAAATATTAAGGTCCCCTTCTTAAAGATTTGGGTTAATTACACTGGATGTCACTAACACATTATTTAAATTCTAAATCAGTCTTCAAACTTCAAAACATTCTAATCAAGTCCTCATAGAATCAGTTTCCTATCACCAAGTAGATATTTTCATCAAACTAGGTATTAATTTGAGCGTTAAATGTCAAATCAAATCTTAATTAAAGCCTATTTGAAGAATATCGATAAGATTTTTCCCTTTTTAAACATGATAAATTCAGATATTACATACGACCAGTACACAAAACCGTTCCTAGTTGAATCAACCCTCAATATTTACTAGTATTTTTCCATTGAAAATTTGGGGGGCAATAGAACAAATGCCCTTAACAAAAAGTGCCCCTAAAAGCTTAGGATACCTCGCACGCAACTCAAGCTTTTTCTCTTTACGTAGTGCAGATATGACCCCTTTTTTATATATATTAATACCACCTAATGTAAAGAACTGTGAATGAAAGCAACGGCCATCTGCTACACCAACATTCCTTAAAAAGAAAAAAAAAGGATTTGTTATATCCCACCTCTTGTTTGGTTGCTAGGAAAGTTGTTAAGAAAAATGGGAAAGAAAATGTCACAGCCATTGCAGCAGGGTGTGACGAGTGAACAACGAAGTTGTACATACATAAATCTTGAGGGGGTAAATTTCATAAGGACATACGAAGTATTTAAACCGAACAAATATTGAAGGTATACATATTTAAATTGAAAATTGTCTAAATTGTCATCATACCATAAGATTTAGATGCACATGCTCTCTCAAAACTCTTAGTGGCCTCTGTCTCTGATAATACGTTGATGAAAGGATAGGATTGACGATAAATTAAGATACTTTATAAACGTAATTAGAATATTTTAAAATTTAAATACCAATTTAAAATATGAAAGATAGTTTGGGGACATGAAAGAGATTAACCCAAACCTTTTTTTCTGTTTTATTTCTTTACAGGGAGGCTGTCTTGTTGAAAGAACCACTGTTTGCAATAATTTGATTGAACCTGTTTTAGATGCATTAGGAAAAGAATCAAATGGCAGCATCAAAAGCAGACAAAAATAATTCACTCATAAAGCAATTACATATACATACATATACATACATATATATATATATATATATATATATATATATATATTTTTTACTTAGATTTAAGATCGTTATATGAGTGAAAATAAATAATAAGATTAAAAGTAAGAAATATAAAGATATTTAACGTAAAAAAAGAATCAGTCTTAACCATATATTTTTATTATTTAACGATCTTAAATCTATATAATACTAAAGAGTGTTATATTGTAACCGCGCTGGCTGAAAATCTGAAAAAAACGAGAGACAACGTGGTAGTTCTTTGAACCCAGATTGTCTTATAGAACTGACTTTGGAAATTACTACGTTATTAAAAAAAAAATCCACTCTCAGACAGAATCCTAGAAGTACTGCACCTGGTGGGTATTTATCTCACCTAGTAGTTGTATGGATTCTGATTATATCTAAAGTGGAGTTGTTGTCGAATTTATTTATCCAACTTTGATTTCGCAGACAAAAACAGTGAAAGTGGAACTGTCACCACTTGCGCCAAAAACTGTGGTGGAGAATGGTGATTTATCAGATGTGGAACACAACTGTCGACAATGAATTGGAAACTTCGAATTGTGAAGCAACTTTGTTAAAATTTTAGGGTAGAGTATATAAATAATCATCCGATATCGAGTGTTGTCCGATTATTAAAAGTTATAAAATGATCTTTTAATTATAGGGAATTGTTTTATTGAGTCTATTGACTATTAAAAGTTATAAAATGGTCAACCGTCTATTATTATGTTCCAAACTCGTCTTTTTTCGTTAAAATTTGACGATAGTTTGAGTTGTATGTTAACTTACTGACTGAGATATAATAAAATTTAATCTCGTAATTTCAAACAACTATCATATTTAGTTAATATGTTAACGTCTAACTCAAACGATCATTAATTTTTTTAATGGAAAAGGACGAGGTTGAACATAATGAATAGTCGAGTGACTATTTTATAACTTTTAATAGTCGAAGAGACTCAACAAAATAACTCTTATAGTTGAATGACTATTTTATAATTTTTTAATAATCAAGAGACTTAATAAAATAATATATTATATTGATGATCATTGTGTACTATTTATTTAATGCGATTTAGTGTTTCTCTTAAAAAAAGAAAAGAAAAGGAAGACGTTGCTTCAAACTAAAAAAGAGAAGGTTACAAATTTCGTTGTCTGAAAGGATCCCTGTTTGGATTATGAATTGATCCATTAGCTTTGTATTTGAAGTGATTTAAGTAAATGTGTGAGTAGGAAGGGTACGGTCAGGTCGGGTCAGGTCAGATTAGACTTTTAATTACTTAAATATGATTCAAGGATTATATTCTCCACCTGTCACTTATTTGATTCAGATTTAGGGAGGTTCCATTTGAACTTAGATCCGATTGAATTTATGAGATAAAAAAACACTTGCACCCGACCTGACACACATACACACACTAAAATAGGGATTAATTAAAAATTATAGAGAGAGCATTATTGTAATTATCCTAAATCCAAATTTGACCCAACCTAACTCAATTCAAATCCGGATATAAATTAGAGATTATTAAACTATGTTCTAATGGTCGTTTTGGTTACTAAACTTTCAAAAAATTAAACGATCATTAAATTATCGAGCGATAACAAAATGATGATTAATTTTTATCAAATTGTTACAAATTGATCCTTAAAATTAATCTTTTACGATTACTATAATGCATTAGTGATCATTTTATAACATTCGATCAATTTTAATGACCATTTTGTATCTTTCAGAAGTTCAGTAACTGAAATAATTACTTAAACATAGTTCAATAACATCTAGTGTAACATAATTTTAGATCATGACACATTGGGGGTGGTGACAATATGGTCCGAACTTAAAGGCAACTTTGAACATTCAAAAACCAAAGTGGTCAAAAGGCATTGTGTGCTTTTTCAAGGAGTTACCTCCATTCTTAAAAGCCTGTTGATCAAAGCATGTCGATCAACACCACCATGTCAGCCGGCATAGACAAACAGCAATTTCGATTCCTCCGGTGTTCAGACGCTAATGGTCGGCAAATGTAAAAACATTGGTGCAGTGCTGGGTGAACTTTAAAGTAGTGATTCAATACAACACTGAAAAGGAGGGAACCTGATGCAATACCAAGACTCGATTAACATTATCGATTACTTATTTTTTTTATTAATATGGAATAAATACAAGACAATATATGTTCAAAGATAATTCTCGATCATTTGATATTGAACGCTCTCATGTTCTTAGTTTTCTTGATGCTTAAACCCATAACCTCGAAGAATAATAACAATTCGAGATCGTTTAATTCGTGCTTAACATCTCTTATATGCTCTATGGATATCAATTGTTGCTCAATAACAAAACTTCTTTTTCATGCATTTCTATGGCCGACATATCAGATCCTAAGACATGGATATCAATTAGAAAGGCTTCATTTTCATAACCTCTTTTAATTCTCCTTTGTCAACACTCGTCAAAGTTAGCCACCTTGTCCCTTTCGATAACTTGAATCTCCCCCAACAAGCAATATCCCATCCACTCTCTAATCAAAATAATTTCCCAGTCAACACCGAAAAATTGCCCGTGCAAAATCGATAATAATCGAGACGAGTTCGAGTACAAATACACATTGTGAACATAAGAATATTATACTCAAATATCCATATTTATTTCATATTATATAAAAGCGTGAGGAGAAGCTCCCATAGTCTGCCTACAGACGGCAGTAACAAGTTTCCGTTTGCCACAGCATAGCAAAAGACTCGGTCAAATACGAAAACGCCCATGCTCTCACCAGGCAGTGCCTTGAGAAGCAATTTACTTAGTTATTATAAGCAAGGGTAATACTGTATTATGGGAATTAAGCCGTTATTAATAGTTCTTCTTCCTCTTCCCAGCGGCATCTCAGAGTTGATCTAGGTGATCCACAAATACCAATGGCTTTGAACTTCTGGTAAATGATGGAACCCCCAGTACCGAGCTCTTCGATGCTCCTCTCCCCGCAATGGTATCCTTCAATATTCAGCGAACATATTTTCTCGAGAGAGGGACCGGCTTCGCCATCAACGTGAACAGCAACAGAACCATGTCCACCAACTGGTTCAGGTTCAGTTTATTCAGATCATAGCCGACGTATTCAAAGCTTGTGTAGCTAAACCCATCTTCGGGTGCAACGTGAATGGTCGAAATGGCATCGGCTTCGATTGAATTCATTGAGTAACCGCAGGGTTCGAACTCGAAATCGCATATATCAGAGTCCGGAAGGATGTTCCTTATGCCAGAAGTAATGGTCATCGAAGCAGCCGAGCTCGAGTGATCTTTGAAGAAAACTGAAGCCATTTCGGTGTCCAAGCCAGTCATGAAGCATTGGTGTTGTTAACAGATTCAGCTGAGGCAGAGTAAAAGTGCCATTTCTGTTTTTCATCGCTCCCACCCATCACATAAGCCCTGCTACAGGCACCAAGCTTCCCGAAATAGCTATCAAGGATCGAAACTTCTTCAGTGAAGTACCGGTGTGGATACGGCTGAGCAGCAGGGAAGATAAAACTTCAACGAGTAAACCGAACAGATTTCACGGTAAGCGAAAGGCAAACAGCCAACTTCAAGATATGTGGGATTGCTAAAAGTAGCTTCGTTGTACCACAGGTTTTGATGATAATCTTGTAAGGATAGACGAAGAGGCTCGACTCAGAAAGGACGTAGGAGTCCACAAGTTCATTCGATAGCGAAGAAACAATGGTGCACTCAGCTGGGGTTAGAATCTCATCCAACTGCACTCTTGACAAAGATCGAAGACCCTTTAGTTTGACGTCAATAACAGAATCAGGCTCAAAGAAGGAAATCTCGAGCCTCTTTTCATAACCTTCGAATCCGATAGCAGATACGGCCAATGCGTGAAGTCAATGTAGGACAATAGCAGCAGCAGAGTTTCTCAGAATCACGTTTGCGAAGGAAGCAGTCACAAGGAGAGTGGAGGAGGAAGATGGCCAGAGAAATAAATCTAATAACTAACTAGTAAAAGCAAATAAAAGTAAATAGATCACTAACAGTGGTCAATAAGGGCAATCTTCAGAAAGGAATATCAGGATGGCTTGCGAGCGCACTGCAAAACAAGAAAAACAAAAGATCAGCATAAAACAATTCACGCCATTGAAATCCAATTGCCTTCTTCATGATCGGAAAAATTCGAAGTTAGGCCGAGTACTTACGTTGGAGTAAGCAGCAGAACTGAACTTCTTGATACCGCCGTTTGGTCGGACGTCTTCAGTGATGTAACCGAGAGGAGCTTCGTACACTAAGGCCGTACTACTACTAGACTTCTTTTTCCCACTTCTAGACTCCATGGATCATTCAGTCACACCTAAATTACCATGAACAAAAAGATCATTAATTAGATTCAACATGAAAATTAAAAAAAGGCGAAATCAAGAAATCAATTCTTTCACAGAAACAATCAGACTTCAAAAATAATGATAATCCTGAATAATATATGCATTCAAGCATCGAGAAAATCATGAAGTAATACATGATTTCGAGCATATAGGAAATCATGAAACAATATATATAATATATGCAGATATCTTGAAAATCAAAGCATAATCACGCCACGAGCTCAGATATCACAAAAATTAACCAAAAATATAAAACGATTGCCTTTCTTCCAAAATTCTTTAAAATTAATAATATAAAAATAATAGAGAGTTCAAGACGCATAAGAACAAAATATAATGATCTTATTCATCCAGATAAAAGTAGGATATCGTTACTTTAAATTCAACCTATACTAATTTTTTTATTTCATAAAAGCAAATCACATAGCATTGAATATTATCATCTCCTACACAATAACACCAGCAACAATAAACGAATCATAAATTGCATCATAAAAAGATCGGAAACCGATACTCACGATTCAAAAATAAGAATGCCAGGTTCAACCGGTGATACAAACCTCGATGATCAACCTCCGCTCAGATCCTAAAAACAAACGCGAAAATAGAACCAATAAAAATCATGTGAAAATCAAGAAAAAGAATCGATGATTCTCTTGTATTCAAAGAACATTATCATCGATTCGTTTTATTAGTGACGAAAGCAAATAGAGGAAAAGGCTACGGAATATTATGGAAGGTTTTCGGAGAGCTTCTCACGTCTTCGATTCGAGCAAATTATGAAGAATGATTTTGAGCACTTGGAGGGGTCCAATTTATATAAGGTAGACGTGTAAGGGTTTTCGTTAACCCTTCCGTTTTCTAGGGATACTCCAGTAATTTTATTATTTATTATTTTGTTTTTTTTATAACGGAGTCGATTTTTGGGAACCTTTTATTATTTGAAGAGTTTTTAGTTTATTTCCCAACTGCTTTTTTTTAATTTCAAAAATTGTTAAATTCATCTATTTAAATGAAATTAATTAGTTACGATATTTAATTTTATTTTAAATTTAATAATATAAGAATTCATCGAGTACACTTAGTAATTGAGGCAGTGTTATTTTTCTTAAATGTTTTTGATTCAAACAGTTGCATCTACATTGTATGTGCATGTTGTTAATGATTAATAAAGATTCTGAACAAAAATTGTCTTGTAATCACTCTGTACAAGGGTGTATTCAGTTCAATACAGTTCGATTTTCTAATAAAAATGAAAATTTTCAATTTTCTAAAAGTTGAAACCAAAATAGAAGAAAAAAAAAAGCATAAAAACCACGATTTTCGGTTCGATTTAATTTTATGATTATTGACTATTTAGTATTTTTCAAATTCAACGTCCAAATAAACAAACTTAAAGCTTAAACCACCAGCAAATATACAAATTTATATTTGTATAAAAAATATTCTACGATTTTATTTATTGGGTAAAGTCCACAAATGATCATTCGACTATATAGTATTATTTTATTGAGTTTCTTGACTATCAAAAGTTACAAAATAGTCCCCTAACTATTGGGTGTTGCTTTGTTAAGTCCTTCAACTATCAAAAGTTAGAAAATGGTCCCCTAACTATAGAATGTTGCTTTATTAAGTCCCACGACTATTCATTATGTTCCAAATTCGTCATTTTCTGTTAAAAAATTGATGACAATATGAGCTTAACATTAATTTGCTATCTGAGATATGATAAAATATGATCTCATAACCTAAAATGACTATCATATCTCAGACAACATATTAATATCCAGCTCATATTATCGTCAATTTTTTAACAGAAAATGATGAATTTTGAACATAATAAATAGTGAAGTGACCATTTTGTAACTTTGAATAGTATGGGGACTCAACAAAACAACATCCTTTAATTGAGAAAATATTTTGTAACTTTTAATAGTTAAAGTACCCAACAAAGCAACACCCTATAATCGATGGACCATTTGTGTACTTTACCCTCGTTTATTTAAGTTTGTCATTTATTAAATGAATTTGTTTGGAATAATTTTTTTCTAATCCAGTTTAATTTCGAACAAACGATTTTCATATGAACAATTCAAAACCTAATCAAATTGTAAAAAATTAATTTTAAACTGAATCAAAACTGAACCACAAAATAAGAAACCAAATAAATTAAACCATATAATTCCATTCAAATCAATTTTTTAATTTTCTCAATTTCGTTACCCATACTATTAAAAAAATGTTGTTACTTATTAAAACATTCCCCTGGTGACCAATTCTTGTTCTCAAACACATCATTTGTTTTAAGAACACAAATAATGGTATTTGCCGGTCAATTTAATGATTAATGAATTTAGACACGAATAAAAAGTATTCGAGATGATAATTAAAAAGAAAATGAATTATTAATATTATTCTAAACTACCCAAAGTAGAGCAAAGCATACGTCTAAGAGAAGTATTACAAGCACTAATCTAGTTTTAGCAAAGCTTAATGCAATCGCAGGTGCGTTGCACATTTGGCAAAGTGGTACAAGAACATGTGTTGGGATTCGATGCAGCTCCAAACCTCTGAATCATCAACTGAAGACAATCCCACTTGCCATTTTCGCCGCATGGCGGTCCATCAATTGTTGCCTCAATCGGGCAATATTGGGCACCTGCAAAAACCACCAAATTTTATTAATCAAAGTGACTTCGATCGATTGAATTAATTTAAGTAAAAGAAGATTCCTTGGGAAAGAGAAGGAGAGAATAAAGCTAGCAAAAGAACAAGGCAAAGCATGTGGATGGCAATTGACTTCTTCATGATTTCTTGGTGTGTTCGTTATGTTGAAAAACATGTTGGATAAAGGATTAATTTATAGGTGCTTGAATGAAAGAGTTTGGTAAGGAAAATCCCCTCTTATTTATGAAAATATATTCTTAGACGATTTACCAAATCAGTAATTATTATGGAAATTATATCATAAGTAGAAGGGACGAATTTAGAACATAGTGAATAATGGGTGATCATTTTATAACTTTTAATATTCAAGGGATTCAACAGAACAATATTCTATAATTAGAGGACTATTTTATAACTTTTAATAATAGGGTATCATCCCATCATAATCGGGAGACCACAAATGTACTTTACCCTCATTCTAATTTTGTCTTCTGTTTTAACGAAATCGACGTTGGAGTGAAAGATATATGCTCCTTTAACATCCACAAATCAAATGATTTTTATTTCTGGGGTATATTACGTATTTAGTCATTCAACTATCATTTTAATTTAATTTTGGTCACTTATCAACTTTTTTCAAATTATACTTAATGTTATATTTTAGATTTATTTTGATAAACTACAATTAAAAAATAAATAAAATGTTGTTGTCACGATTTTTATTTTGTTTTAAATGATGACGTGACTTTATCTTATGAGGACACATCACTATAAATATTAATTTTTAGTAATAATGGGTTAAAATAAAATTATATTAATAGTTCAGTGACTAAATACAGGTTTACTTTTTTTTCTTTTGGATTAAACTTCCACGAATTATATATATTACGACATTTCACTTTCAGTCATCATCGTGTTAAATGAAAATGGCTTCCTCTAAGCAACATGTTGATCAAAAAGGAAGTTTCAAAGCGTCAAACTTATAGAAATTTCAAGGCTGGCAGCTTAATTATTTGAACTCAACGCGTAATCTCCCTTATAAAAATGCTCATCGTCAAGAACCAGATCGTAAACAGTTAATATACAATCATTTTTTCCCGGTGAAACCTTAGAGATTTCGAAGATGTATGTAACAAGGCCACTTTCTATGTACAAGCAGTCTCCTTCACTACTCTCATCGCCGCCGCCGGAGGGTCCGAACTCCGGCGTACTGGTAATTCTCGACGAAGAAGCTGAGCCGACGTGCTGTTTCGGAACGTGCAAAAGCAGCTACCTAGATGACTTGCCTTTCCCTCAAAACAAGGACATGGAGCTCGTCTTCTCGGCCGGTCAGACCGTTCTTATTGATCAGGTGGCGTTCATTCCGGTTCTCGGTCAGCCATTGTCCTCCAACCGGTACTATGCGTTACAGCCTCGTGGTAGCCATAAAGGGTAAGTTTTTGTTTTATTTTTCGTTGATCGGAGCTCAGTCCCGTTCATGCATGGATTCGTTTTAATGGTTTTTCATTATGCAGTGAAGCGTTCACAAATTCATCCGAGGAAGATGCCTTCACTTGCTGTTTCTGCCGGTGCTTTCCCGACAGAAAACGACAGCCGGCCGACCACCACGACATATACCAACAATTCGAGATCAGCAAAAACAAGAGTTGGAGCGTCGGCTTCGTTGCCAAATCAGTAGCACCGGATGGTGTCCCTCCTGGATTCTTAAAAAGAAAAGGTTGGACAGCAAGGTTCACAACTCCACGTAGTTTCAACTTAGGTGAAGCGCCGGGGCTCGACGAAGCCCTCCGATCCCGGCTACCGCCATTCGATTTCCCGTTGTCTTGCAAAACCTCCCAACCGGTTGTCGTCGGAAAATGGTACTGTCTCTTCATGTTCATCAATGATGGAACCCCAAAAGACCAGATGGCCAAATCGATGTACTACGAGATGACACTCGAGCAGCGATGGGAGCAAGTTTTTACATGCGATAATGACCGTAACGGTGACAATACTGTTGTCGTCGACGTGAGAGTCGAAAGGGAAGTGGTTAGGGTTGGCGGGATGTCGAGGGAGATTACACTAGACAGTCGAGAAACAGTTAACGGGACGATGTGGTTCGGGGGTTCGACGGCTGGTGTCGGGCTGAGTTTGGCCGTCGTTGAGAAAATGAAGTCGGACGAAGAAAGGTTCGGGTGGAATGGTGGGGATGAAAGGGTGAAAAGGGTTGAGAAAATGGAGAGAAATGGTGTGTGGTATAAATTTGGGGGTTATGTGTTGGTGGAGAGGTATGTGTTGAGGAGAATGGATGGGAGTTTGGTGTTGACATATGATTTCAAACATACTCATGTTGTTAGAAACAAATGGGAATGATTATACGTGCAATCCTTTATTTGGTGGGATAAATTTTAAGATTATTTTGGTGTTACGTTTTCTTGTGTACAATTTACAATCGCATATAGTTTTCTTACGATGTTTTGTTTTGATTTATGTTTTTAATGGTTTTTTAGTAGTTTAATCTTATGTTGTGATTCGTTTTTCATAATTAGATTTGTTTATATCTACCTTTTGTTCGAGATTTTTTTATGTGTTTTTTACATTTTCATTATATACTCCTTATGTGGCTAGTTTCTTCTCTTAATTGTTGTAAGAGAATATTCTAATTATATGTTTAGTTTACGATTTTAATTATAAACTTTTATTATAATTTTAAATATTTTATATTTTAAAAATTAGCTACTTTTATTTAAAAAATAATTAAATATTTGTGACCATTAAAAGGGGATATTGTACTTTAAGTAATTTTTTTTATTTTTTTAGAATGTAGATTAAATTTATATATATGTAAAATGTTTAGGGTTATTTTCCCATAATAGAGAAAATAAATATATTGTATAAAAATAAATTATTATTATAATTTTAAAAAGTATCATGTCATCTATTTATCAATCAATTAATAGTGTTTGACTAAAAAAAACAAACATGATTAGATGAATGATTATTTTGTTATTGCTTCAAAATTAGATGAGTAAAATAAAAACTTTCTAGTGGTTGGGTGTGAGTATAATTGGGGATGAGTTATATTCTTTCATTTGCCACGTGATTCGATTCGAATTTAGAAATATTTTATTTGAATTAATTTTTGATATAAAAGTTCACATCCGACCTAATTCGGTAATATAATTTTTCTTTTTTGTTTGGTAAATAAGAATCTAATTAAGAAAATATATAAAAAGAATAATATTATGGTAATTATCTCTGAATATATAAAAGATAATTATACTATTATCTTAGTTGGGTCAAATCATAAAATTTTATCCTAAACCCAAAATCGATCCTATTTAAACCAGTCCTTAAAATTTTTTACCCAAACCTAAATATCCAAAAAATGGCCGTATATGATCAAATCAAAACCTATTAAATCCGAATTTGATGTCCATCCTTGAGTATAATAATATTTTTGGTACTTAAGGAAAATTATAGTACAAATCTAAACTTGATATTAGATATATGAATGAAAATTTAAGTAAAAATTTATACTTATTTAAAATAAAATAATTATTCATTCAGTTGTTCAAACTAAGTAATACTTATGACTAAAAACTATAAAATAAAATTAATTTATTACTAATTCATGTATTAAAATATACTCAAAGATGAGGAATAAGTAAAATTCTTACGTTATTTTTGTAACATCCATAACCCGTATAATTATACCTATACAGATTATAGATGTCACACGTATTTTCTAAAACCATTTCAAATTATTAAGCGATTAAAAATTTATTTTCTTAAAATAGTAAATGATATTATAAAAATATCATATCATAAAAAATTACGTTTCGTTATAACAATTTAATTCAAAATAATTTTATTTATGAATAGTGAATAGTGAACAGTGGGGGAATTGATTCCCTGTAGCAGGGGAATCGGTGCCCCTTTAACAATCTGAAAAAAATTTATAATTCGTGGTTACTGTTCTTGCTATAGTAACTTTCGAAAATTTACATATAAAACTCATAAAAATTAATTTTTCATCACTATAAAAATTCCCAAAAATTTATACAACATTTAAATTAAACATTTCCAAATTACATGCCACTATCTAAAATCAAATTCCATCGTAGGATGTCTTACTGATATTGAAATATATCTCTCGATGCTTGATGTCGTTCTGAATTCTTTATTCTTATTCTTTGCTTTTTACCTACGCGTGAAAATCATCACATGCTAAGTATAAACTTAGTGAGGCAATTAAAACATTTAACAGTGCAATACAATTCATGCATGATTTTCAATGTCAAAAATCGAATTTCCATAAAATCATTTTTACCATGATCAAAATAGTATAAAATCTTTTACCATTTATCCCATAAGCTCGTAAGCTTATTTTACCAAAATACTTACCATTTAAATTCCATAAGCTCATAAGCTTATTTTATCAATATACTTGCCATTATTCCATAACCATATACCATAGAAAATAACCATAAACAATAGACAATAGCCCAATATACAACCATGAGGACCCTGGGTACACGAGTCAAATATAAGCACCGTAGTGCTATCCCGAGTATGACACATAAGGTCGTGTCCACCATCTGTACTAGGTATCCTTAAGTACAGTCCCGAATATGACACATAAGGTCGTGCCCACCATATACACTAGGTATCCTTTAGTGTATTCCCGAATATGCAGCCTGCTGCTGGACTCTATGGCATGCCAACTATACCCTGTCCCTCAATAACTGACTTGAGCATACAGTCTATTTTATTTGATCCATCCATGGCAAAGTATATTATCATATTGTTAACATTGGGCAGTTCATACCCGAAATAATATTCATGGTAAAAATCATATATGTTCATGATTACATCATATGCAAAAATCAGTGATCAATGCATTTTAATTTCATACTCTGACATATCAATGTCAATTTATAAAAAAATGATATAAAATCATGCCGATATAAACAAGGTCGACTTATCGCAAGTATTCCCGATGATGTATAAAACATCCATGTATAATTTCATGCATGTATTGCACTCACCTTGACACTTTATGTCTTTCAAAATATATGAGCCTCACTATTGTTCCATAGTATACCCTTTTCTATTTGATTTGTTTCGATCAGAAATCAAACACGATCTATATAAATCAGAAATTCATAATAATCCATATGTTAGTATTTTACTAACATAAATACATTCCACCATATCTCCATACTATATTTGAAAATCATCATCTAACAAAATATTCAACTCTTAATAATTCCTTATAACATTGGAACCAACTTTTCCAATTTACTCAAAATGGTCTTCACCATTTTACCACTTAAATTCTTAATACCAATAATTCCAACATTGAAATTATTTCCATTCAAATGCTTTTACAAAAGCATAAATACATTTAAGTATCCCAACTGTGCAATTGTTGTACTTAAATCACCAATCATTTCAATCTTCCCAAAATAATCAATTTCACATTTAACACTCATTTCAATTCTCAAACAAAAATTCCAAGCATAGTACATCAATTATACAACTCTTACACAACAACCCATAAATTTCCAAAATTCAGACAACTCACACTACCCTTAAAGAATCATTATTCTGTATTGATATAGACACTTGAATTCAATTCCATTTCTTCCGTTAAAAACTAGACTCGAATACGAATCTATCCATATAAATAAATCCTTCTAATTCATTCTGTACAATTTATGGTGAATTTTCAAAGTTCAGCAACAGAATCTGTTTTGTACAGAATTCTGCTGTCCGACTTTTCTGACCTTTCCTCAGTTAAAAATTCATATATATTTGTATACAACTTGAAATTGATCCCCGTTTGTTTTAAACAAAACTAGATCCATATATGAACACAATATATAAAAATAACCTTCAAATTATTTTTATATATTTTCTGGTGAATTTTCGAACCTTTTGACATAATCAAAATCCAAACTGTTTTCTTTAACTTCATCCTTAGGTTCTTCATCATTTCTTACAACCAATTCTTTAAAATCACTTAACTCTTCAAAACCCATAAAACACAAGAACCCCATTTTATCAACTCAAGATGAACTTGAACAACCAACAAGATTATCATGTAATATTGGTACCAAATGATAGCCTTTTTCCCATATAATAATTTTCTATCTTTAGCATACCCAAAATCCTAAGAAAATTGCTTGAAAATGAAATTAAAAATTGATCTTACCTTGGAAGAAGCTCACGTCTGGTTTTGGAGAAGAAGATGATCAAATTTTGTTGAAATGTAGAGACATCTCATCTTAATTTACCTTAAATTCCACTTAAATGAATAAAATATTCATTTAATTGGATAAGACAAAATCACCCTTAATGAATATTCTTAATTATCATAAAACCATGACAACTCATCCTTATCATATTTCAAAGTCAAAGCTGATTATTTAAACTATTAATTCCGAAATTCTCCTTGAATTTTCAAATTTTGCGTTTTAGTCACTAAATTCCACTGTTTCGATTAAATCTGAAAAATTGCATATTTTCAAACCAAATTTCTCTGATCCAAAATATTAAAATAATATTTCCAACCATTTTATAACATCCTTCAATTTTTCGTAAAATTCCAACTCGATCCAAATTACCGATTCCTTATCGGCTTTAACCCTTTCTAGTTTTTCTTTACTAAAAATTCCAAATCCAAAAATATGATTTCTATAAAACTCCACTCTCAAGAGTAAACCATCTATTTATGGAATAAAATTCTTTTTAGGAAATTATCACTTAATTCCCTAAACTTTTTTCCAATTTTCTACTTTGACCATCAAACTTTCCAAATTTTTTTATTTTGGTCATTGTCTAAATTTTTGGGGCATTTCAATTTTAGTCTTTTTCATAAAACAAATACTCCTATGGATATAGTAATAGTACAGGCATAGCCTTTGGTTATTATTTTAGGAGGACCAAGATTGCAATTTTACCAATTGTCAGGATAAGCCCTTTCCAACGCGGCTTCGTCCCCGCTGCCGTGCACATGTATACTTACTACGCGTCAATGGGTTATTAATAAGGAAAGTTCCAGGAAATGATAAATGCATTTATTTGTACATTTCTAGTATTAACTAATCTAAATTAAAAATATTTTAATTACTTATTTGGTTAAAAAATAATTTAAATATTTAATTTGATCAAAAGATATTTAAAATGTTAAATAAAAAGTAAAATATATTTTAAGTATTTATTTATGATGTAAATCTTTATAATATATTAACAAATGAATGGGATATTAAAAATTCAACAATAGAATTGATTCAAGTAATAAATAATTTAATTTTGTTTAAATAAAATCTCAGATTTAAATCATTTTGTATACAAAAAATTCCCGTTAGAGACTTGTCCATCAAAACCAAATATCGACCCGAATCGGTTTAGATTAATCAAGTAAAACTTTGTACCTTACGTGAAAAAGAAACATTAAAACTTCCCCGAAAGTGCACTTAAGCTAATACAAATACGCAATTTGACTTTTAAATTCCAATCATCGTGACCATTTCGTTGGTCAAAACGAATAGTTCAAGGCATATCTCTCTTATAAAAACACTCATCTTCAAGGACAAGATCATAAATTCCGATAAAGAGATCGCAAAGCAGATTACAAAGAAGTTCAGATCCGTGCTGCAGAATCGTAAAGATGTATGTAACGAGGCCTTTTTCTATGTATAAGCAGTCTCCGTCGTTACTCTCGTCGCCGCCGCCGGAGGGTCCGAACTCCGGCGTGCTGGTAATCCTAGACGAAGAGGACGAGCCAACATGTTGTTTCGGGTTGTGCAAAAGCCACGAGCTAGACGACTTACCTTTCCCTCAAAACAAGAACATAGAGGTTCGTTATAGCACCGGCGCAGGTAAACATCGACACGCTCACCGGTACAAAGTGACGTTCATTCCGGTCCTCGGTCAGCCGTTGTCTTCCAATCGGTACTACGCGTTACAGCCTCGAGGAAGACATAAAGGGTACCTTCTATTATCAACAATTCATTCGTAATATTATTTTCAAAATCATATTTAATATTACATTTTAGTCATCATAGGTCGTAGTTAAAAATAAACAATGATATTGATTTGATATTTTTTTAATTACTTTTAATACTGACGTGATATTACCTTATAATGAAATATCGATATCAACATTGATATTTTAATTGTGGGCGAACAAAACAAAAGAATAATAGTTTAGGGATGACCAAATACATAGTTTACGCTTTTTTTCATTTTAATCAATGCAATGCTTTTTCTTTTCTTTTTGGTTTTTGATTTGGTTATGCAGTGAAGCATTCACAAATTCAACAAAGGAAGACGCCGTCACATGTTGTTTCTGCCTGTGTTATCCCGACATCGAGCCGCAGCCAGCGGACCACCACGACATGCACCAACAATTCGAGATCTGCCGGAGGAGACGGGGTAGCTTCTTCGCCAAGTCAGTTTCACCGGATGGTGTCCCTCCAGGATTCTTAAAAAGAAAAGGCTGGCAAGCGTGCACCTCCACTCCTCGTAATTTCACCTTTGGCGAAGCACCGGGGCTCGATGCCACCCTCCGAGCCCAGCTACCGCAATTCGATTTCCCGTTGTCCTGCAAGAGTTCGCAACCTGTTGTCGTCGGAAAATGGTACTGTCCCTTCATATTCATCAAAGATGGAACACCAAAAGACCAGATGACTAACTCCATGTATTACAAAATGTCACTAGAGCAAAGATGGGAACAAGTCTTTGCATGCAACAATGACTATAACAAAGACAATAGGGTTGTCATCGACACGAGAGTCGAAAGGGAAGTGATTAGGGTTAACGGGATGTCAAGTGAGATTACGCTAGACGATCGAGAAACGGTCGACGGAACGATGTGGTTCGGGGGTTCGACAGCCGGTGTCGGGTTAAGTTTGGCCATCATTGAGAAAATGAAGTCGGAAGAAGAACGGTTCGGGTGGAATGGTGGGGATGAAAGGGTTAAAAGAGAGGAGAAAATGGAGGGAAATGGTGTGTGGAATCAATTTGGGTGCTATGTGTTGGTGGAGAGGTTTGTGTTGAGAAGGATGGACGAGAGTTTGGCATTGACATATGATTTCAAGCACACTCATGTCGTTAGAAACAAGTGGGAATGATTATTTATGTAATTCTATAGGAAAAATTATGATTATCCGATAATTATTATAAAATATTTACATATAATTTATACATATAATTATGATTATTTATATTGTTATTATACAAAGTATAATTTATAGGATACATATAAGAGAAAGGTTTATTAATTGATTTATTACTCGTGTAAAAAACCATTTATTTTATACATACCCTTTTAATATTTCTTATCATATGATTACATTAGTTTAGGCCGGGCGTATATACATTGGTTTTTTTGCCCAATACTCCATACGGAAATTTTATTTGCCCAATAGGCCGAACAAAAGTTTAATTTGCAATCTATGATATGATATGTAGTTAAACACGATTTCATCACGTGATGTGACGAGTTTTACTGAAAATATTTTTTAATAATTCCAATTATGTGGGCCAAGTCCCTTTAGAAATTTATTTTTTTTATTTCACAAAATAATTTCAAAATTTAAAGGGAAAAAACTTATAAAAGGTGACGAGTTTACCTTGAATTTTTGAAAGAGTAGTCGTTTTTAGTCGTTGTAGAACGGATAGATTGCAACGGTCATCATAAAATTCGTCACCTCGAGGTGACAAGTTTGATGGGATTTTTGTAAAATTAGTTGTTTAAGGCCGTTGGATTTGGGATTATAAATAGGGTTTTGGGTTTAGATTTTTTTTATTGTGTTTTGTTTAGAAAAAAAATTCGAAAAATATTCAAAATTTTTGAAAATGTCTACCCGCGATGAAATGTTACGACTGGACGATGTTCATATTTCTTCGCTCGATCTCGGTCGGATGAAAAACAGAGTGTTCGTCAAAGAGGAATGAATCTCTGAGATTAGCCTCAACGGATTATTATATATTTGCAACAATTAGGGCTGTATCCAGCGACATTTTTGCGTGGTTTTAAGGTGAACCCGACATTGATTACGGCTCTTATTGAACGTTGGAGGCTGGAGATGCATACTTTCCATTTTCGGAGTAGTGAAGCGACAATTACGTTGGAAGATGTCGCTTACCAACTCGATGTTTCGGTTAATGGTGCGACAGTAGTGAGGCACAACAGTTTGACCGATTCAGAATTGTTCACGAAGTTTTGGAAAAGATACCACCGTCAGAGATCTTAGAGGGATACCAGATACGAATCACCTGTTTCAAGTCTAAATTTAATGTGACGAACGAATCTACCGAGGAAAATGTGATTTTTGTCGCCGAGCGTATCTGCTCCAATTGATTGGAGGGATATTGTTACCGGATAAATTTGGTAATTTGAAGCACATTCAACATCTTTCGATATTGCAGAATTTTACCGTGTGTTGCAATATTTGTTGGGGTTTGGCGATTTTGGCTTTTTTATACCATAAATTTTGCAAGGTTACAATCATCGAACTGGTCAAAAAGCGGATGTAACGAGTTGTCTAGTCCTTCTACAATCTTGTGCGTGGTACCGATTCCCGTTTTTTCTGCCAATCACAACAACCTTTGTTGAGTTTCCTCTCGTCGTAAGGTAAATTTTTACCATTATTTTTTTATTGAAATTTTAAATTCATTTTGTAACTTTTTTTAAATTTTGACCTTTTATATTATTTAGCCGACCACATAAAATTACTGAGACAAAGTTATCAAGTGTAACTAAAAAAGATATACGAATGAGAATCGATATCGCCGATCAACATGCGGTAAATATTATTTTTTAACTTACTAAAATTTAATTAAATTTGTTCACTTTATGTACACTAACTTTTATTATTAATTTTTACATTTCTTGGATCTTGTATTATGACGATGAGATCCTTCGAGATTTTTTGAAAGGTCGGAATTGTGGTGTACTGTAACGCTTATGTTACACTGCAATTATTGAGATTAACCCGACAGATACAGTGTACTTTAGATTTGATCAAAATATTGTCGATTCCTTTGCGACCACTTATTTTTTATACCTATGTTGTCTTCTTTCTCGTGTTTTGCCATCTATATGCTGTTTTCTTACGAAAGATGTTGCCAACACATATAAGGTACAACAATAAATATATTTTAATATAAAGTCTAATTTACCAAAAATATATGTCACGATATACTTTTAAGTTATATAATATTATTGGACGAATTCTTTTTTCTATATCAAACCTAGATCTGGTCCAACAAATATTATTATAAAGTTTGTCCCATCCCATGTTGGTTGTGATTTCGAGAACAGCTCAACTGTTATTAAATCGGATTAAATTAGAATTTATCGATTATAATTTTTCTTATTATTCATATTAAAATTGAGTTTAGATTAATTCGATTACAAGTTTGGATAAGTATAAATTATTTTAGTATCATAAATGAATTCGATTTAAACCTAAAAAACCCTTTAGTTTAAAACGATGGACTTCTTTTAGGATACCTTCAATAAATGTTTGAACTTGAAACGCTTTATGACAAAATGTAAAATTTTAGATTTTGATTATTTAAAATTAAAAATATTATTATGGTGCCGTTAATGACTTAACGATTCAGTGGTATAACTAAATCAAATGTTAAAGTTCAATGCTACAATTAGGGATGTGCATGGTATCCGAACCCGACGGGTTCTGACTCGACCCGATTGGGTTAGATTTTTTTAAAATGAATTGAATTCAGATCGGGTCGAGGTTTTTCAGAGGTTATGCTCGAGTCAATTTGGGTTTAGGGTAAAAATACTCAACCCAACTCGACCTAAAAAATATAATTTTACCTTATAATAAAATAATTGTAATATTATCCCTATATATATTATTATTTTCAATTAAATTCTATTTTTATTGAATAAAAGTAATATTTGTGGGGATTTCTAGCTTGGCCACATTTATTGACGTGTACTAGTACTAATAATGCTTCTCCGACTAAAAGCTAATGGAGGGACTTCGAAGTGGAAGTTTCAGCTAAGCTTAGCGCAGCCACCAGTTATCACGGCGATGGTCGGAGTCGAACCAGAAACAGTTAAACACCAGAACTTCGACGCCGGCAACTAGTTTACCCATTAACGACGTACGACAAACGGGACAAGTCGAAGAATAGCTATAACCGAGCCATCTATCCAAGCAGTCCTTGTGAAAGAGATGGCCACATCTCAACTCTCTCATCTCGTCGTCTTCTTCGATTTCGCAAAGGCAGACGGCACAGGTAACTTCCTCGTCTTTGTCGGAGCCGCCGTCGTATCGAACGACACCAGACCAGTCGGCATTAACGGAAGGGACCCGTGGAAATGGCTGCATGGTGTGAATGTTGGGGAACAAGCAATGGTTAAACAACAAGTTCCAGGCCAATTTCAAATGGTTTATGACCAAAATAATGTAATAGTACAACATGGTGTGGAACAGAGGATAATAATTTGAGAGAAAGGGAGCGCTAAATACTTTGGTATTTATAGACTTAAATTATACCATTCCAAAATTAATTATAGTATTAAAAAACAATTAATTAGGCTAATTAAACATTATACTAAATCATTTAATGCTTATAGGTCGAGTCCCGTAGAAATTTTAAATTCTTATATAATCTATGTATTTTTTATATTTTCTATTGATAATTTAATTTCACAATCCCTAAAATTTAGTAATTTCACACTCTTAAATTTTTAATATAATTAGTTAAATATACACCTCTTATAAAAAATATATGTTCGTCCCTACATAGATTAACGTACTTTATTTTTTGTTAAAGTCTAGTCTGGTTTAAAATATAGATATCGAATTTAATTATAATATTTCTATATTTATAAATAATTAATTAAAGATTTTTTTATTATTACAAGATGGTCAAAAAATGTTTTTTTCTCCCTCTAATTCTAAAGTTTCATCCTGATTAATCTGGACCGATCTAGGTCGCACACCTAATTTTGGTGATTGAGTCTCCTAACGGAGATTTTCTGCATGCACAAGGAATAGTGCCTGAGACTTTGCTTAAGCGATATCAATTACTTATCACTTGAACCAGCTCAGTTAATAAAACGTTGTTTAACATTAAGGGTGTAAATACTATTTTTAAGGTGAATAAATATTTTTCTAAAATTTTAAATTTTTTGTGTTAATTATTTATTTTATTAAATTTTTCACTCTAAAATTGTATTTATAATTATCTATAAATGAAAATTATATATATATATATATATATATATTCATTTCAAAATTATTTTTAACTCATGATTGATTTTGACGTTAGTGGACGAAAATAATAGGCTTAACCAAGTCAAGAAAATGGGTACAAGGCTCTGTGTATGATAAACTTTTAGAACGTGTTTCACATCTCTCTAGTTCTAAATTTCTAATATTTAATGCCTAATGTTTTAGAAATAAGGTTTATTAATGTCTCAATATAATATTATATACGAGATCAACATGGGTTAGTTCAAGTGGTAAGCAGCTTGATATCGTTTAAGCAAGTTCTCAGGTTCAAGTCCTTATGTATGTAAACCTTATTCGTGATCGATTCGGTCAAAGCTCGATAAATAATTCGAAAGGACTCGATTCTTAATGAGTCAAAACGAAAAGAAGGGGAAAAATCTGGTTTTAGGTTGAAAATAAGGATGATCTGTCAACGTTGAAGTCGTGAAAAACATGCAAGGCAAACCTTGTGGCTTGTATGAGTCCACCGGTATCCATCTCGGCATCTCAAGATTTCAGGTCATTTATATTTTTTGTGATGGGTCTTTGGTTTGCATTAATCACAGTCATGTAGAACTCAACACAAACTCAAATTAAACAACCAATGAATACGATGATGGTAAGAACACGACGGAGTTGGCGGCATGAGGGTCAACAGTTGAGGGTACTAGGGATGGCAACGGGTCAGGTTGGGTCAGATCGTTGGTTAATCCGACCTCATTCGAAAAAATATGTATCTTCCACTTGAATATATCCCGGTCTGAAAATTATAAATCTCTCACTCAATCCGACCCGAAAAATATATATTTTTCACCTGACTTCAACTCGACCCGAATTTTAAGAGTATAAATCTTATCTCATCTGATCCGGTATAAAATAAGGAGTTAATTAAAACAATAACAATCTTTTAAAGAAATTATAATATTATCTACGGATCAGGTTGGAGTATTTTCACTCTCAACCCGACCCGCCTCATTCCCTTAAAAAAATCAAGCTGACCCGATCTGAACCCGATTTTTTAAAAAAAAAATTGACCCTATCGAATCGATAGAAAAAATATATAGAAAAATGATAGAGAAAAAATAACTTTCTATTTAAACTAAAATTATGTCATTATCTGTTTAAATTTATTTTTTTAGGATCCAACCCACATCATTTTGGTATTACTTATCATAACATTGTGACATTGTTAATTATTTTAACAACATAATAATCAAAATAAGAGCAATTAGAGAATTGAGTAATTAATTTTTTTCCTCCTTTGTTGATCAGCGACGACATTAATTTTAATGTTGTTGATCAACAGCGACACCAACATTAATGTTATTGATCGGTGGCAGGATCAATTTTAATGTTAATTGTCAATTCATATAGTTGTCAACATATCATTGTCGAAACGGTTTTTCTTTAAAAAGTGAGATTTTAAAACCACACAATTTTTAATTTATCTATTTGTGATTGATTTTTAATTAAAAAATAAATGCGATTTAAAAAAAACTCTCGTTTTGAAAAAAATTGGGATTCCTTTAAAAATAAAAACGTATGATTCGAGGAGTCGCCACCAATATTTGATTAGGGTGTGATTGGACATCCAAAACCGTTTTGTAATTTTTTAATTAAAACAACAAGTTGATGTTTGCGTTACCAAAATTTGAGTTCGAGAGTCGATTACGCGTGAGGAATGATTAACACCCCCACAACGCCCTAAATCAGTACCTAGTCGATTAATTAATGTTTTTGCAATGAAATTTACAAATTCGATTTTAATTTGACTTTTGATCCATAACACAACAAAGATTGAATTTTACAAAGAAATATAATAATATTAAGTTATTTCCTATTGAGAAGAAACAAATACCTAACTCGAGGCAGTTAATTCTTATTTTAATCAAAATAAAGAAATATTATAATTCTATTATAGCATTCAAATGCACCAAAACAGATTAAATTAAAATTACCAAGCCTTTTAGAAAGATAAATAATATTCGATTATTTAAAAATATCAAGACCATATCTTAGATAAGGTCTAACAACCTTTTCTCGAAAAATTTAAATAACTGAATATTTATTTTTATTTCATTCCCAAATTTTAAGGCGACGAACCGTTTTTTAAATGTCAATAATGGGATACACTTTTAATTTAAAATCGTCGAAAACGACTCTAAGTGAGTTAAGATAAGCCATTCAAATAATTTTAAATTAAAAGGGTATTACCCTTAATCCAATTATGTAATTTGGTCAAGTTATGCACATAAGGATATCATACGAGTTATGCAATGGTATTCGAACAAGATATCATCAGAATAAAAAATGTTAAAACATACGAAGGAAAGTTATTACCATGTAGAATAAATAAAACCCACAAAATGATAAGACAAATATGCTTAGCAAGAACGTTACCACCTTACATGTGTCATAATATATAATACGTGTGACTCGTGTCCACCAAACAACAAATATATATACATACACTCATGCACATATTACCATGGACAGGGCGAACACATGACAAAAATTCAGGGGTTGCAAGATCCCCAGGGGTGGCACTTTTGAGGGGTGACACTTGTATTAATTTTGAGGGTTTCTACATGGACTTGTTGTTGGAGAATAATTTTGAGGGGTTGCCTGGAATACCCAGGGCACCACTCAGGTCCGCCCCTTGACCATGGAGAAACGACATATGACATAATAAAGACTCATAAGATATACATAAATTGAGCACACATGGCTCTAAACAAATGAATAAAGGGTTAAACTCCTGTAATCGGTCCTCCAATCACATAAAAAAATACAACATAAATAAATACATAAATGTACATGAAAAAAGAAAACAACATGATGGCCAAAATGAAAGGATAGGAAAAGTCAGAGTTAAAAGCTTAACTTAGTCAGAGATCATATCATGGAGTGTAAATACTGATATTTTAGGTACTAGCAGCGAAGTAAGCCCATATAAATACACATGGGGCTAAATTAAAAGTTTTGAAAATAGCATCTCGAGTGTACAAACAATGGAAAATGACTACACTTAGGCACTAAAATCAAAGGATAAAAAATAGAGAGGTAAATATATAATTCAGAATTTATGAAAAGGGGCCTAAAACTGGATTTTACCCTAAAGCTTCAGTGGCTAAAAAATTAATTTACCCAAATTCTATAATATAAAAGCTATTTTTCAACTAAACCTAGACTAAACTTACACATAAACTCATTATCTATATAGGTTCAGGTTTCGAGGATCATAATTAGACAACGATGTCATCAAAGTCTTCGTGGGGTATTAGAGTACAACGATAAGGACTTGAATGAGCATGTAGAGATTATAATTTTATTCGAGTCTCTTGTAAATTGTTTATTTAAGTATTTTGGTTTTCAAATAAAGGAGCTCTGCCTCTTATAAATGTTTATTTTTTTATAGTGACATTATTGGATTTTGATTTTTAAGTAAATTGTATATTTTTAAGTCTTGGTTTGTAGAATCACTTCAGTGGTCTAATATTTTGGATTTGATTTCCGAAACGAGTTGAGGACGTTACAAAAATCATTTGCAGAAGAAATATGTGGCTCACTTTTGAGAGAGGACGGGACCGGATTTCATGCACCCGGTACACACACGAGGTTTCTTCCGGTGCCGGATTAGAGTTGCTCCGAGTGTTGGTGCAGTAGTTTTACTTGAGATGAGGACTTAACATGAAAAATCCTGCATTCCATAATTGTCTAAACAAAACATAATCCGGATTAGGGATGGGTATGGGATCCGAACCCGACGGGTTCTGATCCGATCGGGTCGGGTTTGTAAAAAAAATTGGGTTTGAGCCGGGTTCGGTTTAGGGTGAAAAGTATTCGACCCGACCCGGAAAATTATATAATTTTATCTTATATATTTAGGAATAATTATAATAATACCCTTATATATATTATTTTTTTCAATTAAGTCACTGTTTTTATTAAATAAAAATAATATTTTTTTTTATTTCGGGTCAGGTCGGGTGAAATCTTGGTTTGGTCAGATTAGGTCGGCTTTCAGGTGAAAGATTCTTTGTTCTCGGGTCGGATCGGATGAACCAAAATTCCGACTTAACTCGACCCATGTCCATCCCTAATTGTCGCTCCATAAATATGGCAGCATTGATGATGATATCAACCAGAGCCATTTGATAATATGAATCCACCCACCATTGCAAACATGTGGTCAGGGATAGATTGAGGGATGGACGAGGACAATTGGCTTTGAAAATTTAAAATCATTATATATTTTAAATTTTTATTAAAATTTATTTTCATCCATTGAAATTTTATAAATTCAAATTTATTCTCTAAAATTTTAAAAGTTTAAATTTAAACTCTTAATATAAAACCATGCGTTCGTCCTTACACGTAGTCTCCACCATCTAAAATCCACATAATTGATGAATACTAGGTTTACATTTAATAAAAAAATATTAATGAATATGAGTTTTATTCACCCCTAATTATTAGTATAGTATATAAACTTTAAAAAAGCGGCATCGACACACCTTTAAACTGTGCGTTTCGGTCCCCCAAACCTGAGGTTGGGAACGTGGTCCGGTCCGGTAGTTACAAATAGAGGTTCCCTGAGACAGTCGCATCGGTATTGTTCAACTTTGCTGCCATTTGGTTCCTAGGTTGCCTCACTATCTTCCATTCCTATTTAACTGCAATCAATCAGGTAATCTGTGTTTTTTACCTCAATTAACTGGTTTATTACCTTTCCTTGAATCTTTGTTTGATGAATGCAGACCGCATACGAGAAATTTCGAACCGATACGAGGGCGGTCCGAATCCATATGACAAAGGACTAATAAGTAACATGAAGGAAGTGTTGTTTGCACCTTTGCCTCCTTCAAGAGTTGATTTCAGGGCTGAAGTGATGCCATGGTAGCATTTAAATTTACAGACTACAATATCTACTGCACACCTCAAGTGACTAAAATTTTCAGTGACCATAATTGTCGCGGCCGTCTTTCGGTTGGGTCTGGAATTGGGTTTCGATTTAAATAGAACACGTTAGAGTCGCCACCGATCATTTTAAAAACATTTAGGTGGATCGGACACTATCTTATCTGATCTGCATTTTACAATAAATGTGTCAGGTTCGGGAGTCGGTTACAGTCAAGGAATGATTAACACCCTTGTACTACTCTTTTGGTACCAATTAATTTGTCAGCTGTCTTAATTGCAAAAATTAAAATTAAAATTTAAAAACCCGATTCAAATTACTTACCTTTGATTAGTTGGAATTCCTCTAAAAATGGTCAAAAAGAACGTTAGATTGCAACAATAAAAATAAATAAATAAATAAAATAAGAAAAAGCCTTTTTTAAAAGGATAATAAAATCAAATTTAAAGAAAAATAAAGGAAGAAACAATGAAGAAAATAAATTTCCAAGGAAATAAATAAAATAATATGGAAATAATAAAAATAGTAAAAAAAGTTAAATTTCAAAAAGAGAAAAAAACCTAATAAATAAATATGAATAAATCAGAACAACGATTAAAATGAGATAATTATAAATATATGACCAAAATCAAAATATCATAAAAATACATACCACACTACATCAATGACTAAATTGGAATAATAAAAAATATTTTGCCCAAAGTTAAATATTAACAGAAATAACAACATAAGTAAAACGGGACTAAAATAAAAGTACTGAAAAATAAATGCTCAAAATGAAATAAAGCAGAATTTCATTAAATGACTAAAACATGAAATGACACAAGAAGAGGGACTTAAGATGATATTAACCCATTCACATAATTAATCAGAGGTCCCTCCCAAAATGACGTAGTTTTGGGGATGATATTTATATCCCATAATCGGCCTAAATGCCCTCATATCTCTCATTTTCCATTTTTCATTCTCTCTCTAAGGGAGGGAAATGAAATTTCTCTCTCGTCTCTCTCTAGAAAACTTCTACCGGAGGGAATGGTCGACCACCGCCTCGGTGGCCAATCTGCCGCTCCGACCGCTGTGAAAAAAATCAAAACCACCCAAGTGAATCCTCTCACCCTCATAAACTCATATCCAAGGCCATAAAACCCAAAATCTAACCCTACCGATGTAGATCTAAGAAAGACCTTTCGGTTTTTTTTACCTTGGTTTGGCGGCTCTTTACCTTCCGGCCACCGACGCTTCTCCTTCCTTTTTTGCGAGTGGTTGCGCTTGTTATTGCTGTTTTTTTCTGTATTTTTGTGTGTGTTGTCGCTTGGTTTTGCTTCGGTGTTTGACTATTGTGGTTGTTTTTGGTTTGGTTTTTCCTCTGTTCGTTCTGGTTTGATCTTGATGTGGTTGGTTGCTCTTACCGATTGTTGTGTTGTTTTGTTTTTCGCATTGGATCATTGTTTGTTTGGCCTCACTGTTGATGTCCTTCGTTTGGCCTCACCGGGGGGGCTTTTTATAGTCCCGGTGTTGGCTGTTTTGGGTCCCGAACGGGATGGGATCATGGTTGTTGGTTAATCGATAACCCCGAGATGGTTCAGTCCTGGAGATTTCGGTCGGAAATTGTTGGCCGTTTGGGCGCGTGGTCGCCACACATGTTGCTTGCGTGGAGCCTGACTAAATATCGAAACCCTAACTTGGGTACCCGGTTGGACAACCCACACCTTTGCTGGACTTGGAGTTGGACCTGGACCGAAAATGAAATAAAATTAATAAGATAAAATAAAACAAATAATAATAATAATAAAATAATAATAATATATTATATATAAAAAAATTTCCAAAAACTATATAATATATATATTTTCAAAAATATTTTAAAACTATATATTATATATTTAAAAAAATCAAAACTATATATTATATAGTTTTTAAAAATGTTTTAAAACTATATATTATATATGTTTTCAAAAAATGTTTTTAAAACTATATATATGTTTTCAAAACTATATATTATATAAGTTTTTCAAAATGATTTCAAAACTACATATTATATAAGTTTTCAAAATGTTTTAAAAAACTATGTATTATATATATTTTCAGAATGTTTTCAAAAACTATATAATATATACATTTTCAAAAATCGTTTTCTAAAAAAATATTTTTAAAAATTATAATATATTAATATATATATATATAATAATTAAAATTAAATTAAATTAAATAAAAATCCGAACGAAAACGAGTGTCTGCGCTAATAAAAAAATTTGAAACTTTACTGATCATTTATATAATTTACTCATAAGAAGTTGGTAAGAATTGGACTGATGAGATAACTATCTATATATTTTTGTGGACATTAAAATTTTGGAATTAATTAATAGGGTACGGAAACCAAATGTTCAATTCGGTACTTTCTTCATAATTGACTTGTCAAAGTTAATTAAAACACACACACGTACAATATTAAAAATTAGGTCATGGGTACGTAAAGTTTAAAATGTGTTCTATTTGACCCTACTTGGATTATATATGATGTCTTGATGAGGCATTCCTCCCATGAAAACCAGCCACTTAGAAATGGCATCATCATCCGTGCAAAACACCACCCAACAACCGCTTCTGCAACCGCAGCTCTCGAACGCAAAGCCAGAAACTACCTCGGACCTCGAGGACACATTGTCGGACGATAACCTTTCCCCGTTCCATCGTATAACAAAAGCGACATGGATAGAGTCCAAGCTCCTCTTCCACTTAGCCGCACCCGCCGTCATTGTGTACATGATCAATTACATCATGTCCATGTCCACCCAAATCTTCTCCGGCCACCTCGGCAACCTTGAACTCGCCGCCGCCTCACTCGGAAACACCGGCATCCAAGTCTTTTCCTACGGTCTAATGGTAATATTATAACAACGCTATACACACACACGGTAATTATGTCATTTGAAAATTTTAAAATATCGTATAATTTAGATATTTTCTAGCTGGGAATGGGGAGTGCGGTTGAAACCCTTTGCGGCCAAGCCTTCGGCGCACACAAATACGACATGCTCGGCATATACCTTCAAAGATCGGCCGCACTCCTAGCCATGACCGGGATTCTCCTCACGTTCATCTACGTCTTCTCTAAACCGATCTTGATATTCCTCGGCGAATCCCCGGATATCGCCTCGGCGGCCGCGGTTTTCGTCTACGGTTTAATCCCACAAATCGTCGCCTACGCCGTGAATTTTCCGATACAGAAGTTCCTTCAGGCTCAAAGCATAGTGGCGCCGAGTGCTTACATATCGACGGCCACATTGGTTATCCATTTCCTGCTGACTTGGATGGCGGTGTACAAGATCGGGCTCGGTTTATTGGGTGCTTCTCTGGTTTTGAGCTTGTCGTGGTGGATCGTGGTGGTGGCTCAGTTTGTGTACATTGTCAAAAGTGAAACTTGCAGGTTTACGTGGAATGGTTTCAGTGCACAAGCTTTTACAGGGTTGCCGGAGTTCTTCAAGCTGTCGGTGGCGTCGGCGGTGATGTTGTGCCTGGAAACTTGGTATTTTCAGATTCTTGTTTTGCTTGCCGGGTTGCTTGAGAACCCGGAGTTGGCTTTGGATTCACTCTCCATATGGTTAGTAAACATAGTAAATGGAATAGATTAGTGAAAATATTTAACCCAATATTAATTTATTGATGATATAACAAAAAAATGGGTTAAGAACACAAATGATCTCTCGATTATAGGATATTATTTTATTGAGTCATTCGACTATTTCAAATTATAAAATGATCTATTGACTATAGAACGTTGCTTTATTGAGTCCATCGACTATTAAAAGTTACAAAATGGTCATCTGACTACTCATTATGTTCGACATTCGTCCATTTTCGTTAAAAATTTAACGCTTGTCTGAGTTGGAATTCAACATACTGATTGAGATATGATAGTCGTTTCAAATTATGAGATCATATTTTATTATATCTCATTCAATAGTTTAACTTTTAACTCAGATTATCATCATTTTTTCAAAAGAAAAGGATTACCATTTTGTAACTTTTAATAGTTGAATGACTCAAAAAAATTTCTTATAGTCGATGATCATTTTATAACTTTTAATATGTGAAAAATATGATAATGATGTGGTTTATATTTTTTATTTTATTTTTCAGCATGGCTATATTTGGATGGGTCTTTATGGTTTCAGTTGGTTTCAATGCTGCAGCAAGGTTAGTATTTTTTTATTAGTAATTTATGTTGATATATAAGCTGTGTATAATATATAATAGAGTAAATTACACGTTTAATATCTCGCTATCATTTGTGTTATGTTTTAATTATTTAACTATTTTTTAAAATTATATCTGATATTTAATTTTAAGAGGTTATGGTTTAGAGATTTTTGTGGTCCTAGGACAAGCTCAAAAGTTGGACATCTAGTAAGATATATACATAATGTTAAAATTGGTTATCAGCGTTTACTAAAATGATCGTTTTAACCCTTTTTTTAACATTTTGATTTTTAACGTTTTAGTTCAGGATAAAAGATACATAATGTTTGATTGAATATTCACCTTAACCCTTATTCTTTTTTTTTTCTAGAGCATTTTGACCCATGATATTTTATTTTAGAGTAAAAAAGACCCTTATTTTAGAATATTATGAGTTTGTTAACTAATGATTTCCATTTACAAATGAATATTTTTGCCTCAAAATGGTATGTTAGGGGCCAAATTGCTCTGAAAAGAATAAAGATCAAAGTGATTGTTTAATCAAATTTTAGAGGCATTCCTAACATTATACCCAAAAAATAATAAAATATACAATTATAAAAATAATTAATTTTAGATTATAATTTTTTAATTGTGGCCTTGAGCAGGTGTCCCTCATACCCAGGCTCAACAAGGACACTGATTTTAATTATTGAAAAAAAATGAAATATCGGTAATTCTATTAATTTTTTAACAGTGAAGGGTCAAAATAAAACTAAAACTACATTATATGAATAATTTTTTTAAAAAATAATTAGATGACCAAAACAAAACAAAAAGAATTGCTAGGATACTAATTGTGTAGTTTTCCCTTTCATATATTATCGATAAAATAGATGATTATAAATCATGAAAAATCTATTAAATAATGAAAAATCTATTGAGACAAATTTAATTTTGTAGTATTACAATAATTTAAAACATTGAGCAGTGTAAGAGTCGCGAACGAGTTAGGGGCGGACCACCCAAAATCGGTGGCGTTTTCAGTGGTAGTAGTGACGACGTTATCTTTCATAATATCGGTGGTGGCGGCCACACTGCTGATGTTTCTCCGTCACATCATTAGTTACGCTTTCACGGATGGCGAAGAGGTGGCGGAGGCTGTTTCCGATCTCTGCCCGCTTCTCGCAGTCACCCTTATCCTCAACAGAATTCAACCTACTTTATCAGGTAATAACATAATTATTTTTTAGGGTACATTACACCATTTCTCACTAAACTTCACTATCTTTTTTATTTTACTCACTGTACTTTCAGTTTTTCTAATTTGCTCACTAAATTTTACAAATTGAATATCTTGTTTGCTCTGTTATTAATTTTCTAATGGTGTGATGACATTTCATTTATTATTATCATTTAATATAAAAATAATTAAAAATATAAACAATAAATTACATTGTTCCTCATTAAACTATATTCTCTCTCATATTTTACACACCCAACTATAAAATAAAAACATAAGGTGGTCGGATGCTACTACCAACCACCGTCGACTGTCATAGACGGTGATCGTTCGGTCTTAAATTTCATGGATCGCTTTTCCTCGACACCTTGAGTCCGAACCAGACCTCCATTTTGTCGGAACTTGCTTCGAAGTCCATGAATTGGAGATTAAAAGTAAGGAAGCCGAAACATTTGAATCGAGATTCACAAAAGTATGGGACATTTTCCGGTTAAACAACTATCGGATTTGGACTCAGAGGGTCAAGACGAACCGGTCCATGAATTTTGAGACCGAAACGACCACCATTAACGATGATAGACGGTGGTCGAAATGAAAAATAACATGGTGATCGGCGATAGAGTAGAGAAAAAATTGGGAAAATAAGAGGATTCGAAACTACGTTGTTTTCGTTTATATTTGAGTTTTTCAAAACGACATCGTTTTGATACTTGATGACACATCATCACACCGTCAAAGAGTTAACATATGAGTAAGCAAAATGATTCAATCTGTAAAGTTCAATTAGAAAAATAGAAAAATAAAAAATATAATAAATAAAATAGGAGATAATAAAGTTTAATAATACCCTAATTTTTATTATAAGATATCATTATCCATTTCGATTAAATTCCGACATTTTTTTTGTTTAATTTGAAGGTGTGGCTGTTGGGTGTGGATGGCAAGCTTTTGTTGCTTATGTCAATGTCGGCTGTTATTACTTTGTCGGAATTCCATTGGGTTCCCTTCTCGGCTTTTACTTCAAGCTTGGCGCCAAGGTATTATATATTTAGGGTAAAATCATTCTTTTAGTCCTTATATCATGAAAAAGTTTGAGATTAAATGCTTCCTAGGATATTGCATTAGCTACAATTCAAATTGATGGCTAAATGTATGAGTTAATTACATTATACGTCCTCTAATTATGATTATTATCTGAATTACTCTTCAAACTTTTAAATATTTTAATTTTATCTTTAAACTATACTCTTATTTTAAATAGTTCTCAAACATTTTAACATTCTAATCCCATCATTAAACTATGACCCTTATTCTAAATTAATCTCCAAGCTTTTGGACATTACAACAATTTCATCCTTAAACTATCATTATATACTAATCACACTCCCATGATAATAAAACTGTTATTAAAATTGTTAATTATCATGTAAACATTGACGTGTATTATGTAACAATATGATGTGATATAAATAACAATTAATATAATGGTAAGAGATCTGGTATAACATTAATTATCGTTTATGTCACATCATATTATTACACACTACACATCAATGTTGATATAATAAATAATATTTTTTTGATCTATATTTAAATAATGATATGAATTTTCAGATCAAATCGGAATTAACGATGTTATTGCAGGGTATATGGTCAGGTATGATTGGTGGCACAGCCATGCAAACCCTAATCTTGATTTGGGTCACATATAGAACAGATTGGAAAAAGGAGGTAACATTTTTCATCAAAACAAACATAACTTGTTGCTTGCTCAGTTTCTGTCATATTTCCCAGCTGAAATTAGTTTATATATATATATATTCAATGGCAGGTCGAAGAAGCTCGAAAAAGACTGGAAAAATGGGAAGATAAGAAAGGGCCTGTTTTGCAATAGAATGTTTGACCCAACTCAGAGATTCAAATAGTTTAGCTCCATGATTATATATATATATATATATGATTATATATATATATATATATATATATATATATATATTAAATGATAAATTACATCATTTATATATAAAATATCACTAAATAATTGGAGCATTAAATTTTAATTATGCATGCAATTATATGATTAGACTGTTAACTTATTAACAATCAGATTACATAGTAGTTTGATGTAATTGATACAATGTTAACGTAGAAATTAAATAAAAATCATTTCATCTCATCTTCTTTGTCATCTAAGTTAAAATTTTCCTACTCAATTTTAATCGACACCGAAACCGTAACTCTTTGACGTCTTTTTTCAGTCACCATATGCATTGTTGAACCCGTCTTATAGTCTTCTATCACTTTATAAGTTTAGATTTTTTACATAATCTCTTTAAAATTCACAAAAATAAATAAGAAAATTTTGATTTTGAGGTTCGAAGGCTTCTTGAATTCAGGCGTTTAGGTTTTGTTTGGAATCTAAACAATGGAAAAAAATATTTCGAGAAAATAAACAATATACTTTAAAACTGACCTCATCGAATGATCATCAGAAGAAAACAAAGTATTAACATATCAAAATTTTAAAGATTTTCGTTATTTTGAATAAATTTCTTAAAAAATCGATTCAAAGATTGAAAGAAATGCAAATGTTTAACCACGTCATCACATTGACGGAAATTATTGTCAACGTCATTTATCACTTAACAACATAATGATATATCTGAACCAAAGACGTTTTTGGGTAAATTACACGTTTAATACATACATTTTAATTCTTATTTCATTTTATTACCACCATTAAGAACTTTGTTTTTATTTCATTTTAGTAGTCTCGTTTAAAATTTAACATTAAATTTTTAAAAAAAATTGAAAGTTTAAGTGATAAAACAGTCCAAAACTGATAGTTTGGTACTAAACACGTTAAGTTTTCAACGACATGATACTAAAATTTAATTTTTGTTTCATTTTAGTACCATCGTTTAAAATTTAAGTTAAACTTTAAAAAAATTGAAAGTTTTAAGTGCTAAAACGGACCAAAACTAATAGTTTAGGTACTAAACACGTTAAGTTTTTTTAAGTGCTAAAAAAATGAAACAAAACTAAACGTTAGATATGGTTTTGAAAATAATGTATAACGGGAAAAAAGAATCAAGTCTTCATTAATGGTGAAAAAGTTTTCCAGTGGCACCATGAGAGTATATGTTTCAATACAGATTCATAGCTAAAAAACGAGAGCATAAATGATAAACAAGATAACACCCCTATTTACTTCTTCTTCCCTGCTTTGCCCTTCTTTCGTCTAACGACCTCGTCCGCGTATTTCACACCCTTTCCTTTATTCGGTTCCGGGGGTTTCCATTTTCTAACCGATGCAGCAAATTGACCGATGTTACTCTTGTTTTTTTAAAAAGATGGTACTTTATATTAAAGATAAACAAAGTACACCACCTCAAGGACCATATTAAAAAAACCCTAACCCTAAATGGAAAAAAAGAGTGTACCTTGAGGTGGTAAGGAACTTATACATAAACAATATATAGACCATACCCCGACCCTACCACAATCCCCTAACAACACAAAACACCAATACACACTGACCAACAAATTGAAGAAAGCGAGACTATAAACCAAACGCATACAGCACAACCGATCACTAACCTGGCCACGACAAAACAAATAACTCCTAAAATGAAAGGATTTTTCACAATGAACCTCGTATACTTCATACCCGAATTCCTTCCACTCAATAATGGTTGGCTCTCAAGAACACCTACTAAACCCTTGCTAATATCCACCAACAGATAATACAGCCCCATAAACGACACTTTGGGCACAACCAATAAACAAAACCCGACAGCCACCTAAATACCCACAACAAGAACTGCATGCGGAAACCAACTGATCAGGGCACCATCTTCAGTTTTCTTTTTTATAATTTCATTTAAACTTTCTTCAATAAAGTTTACCTCGAAACCAGCATCTACAACACACCTTCCTGCAACGAAATAACTCTTCGCCGACTACTGCTGAATTCGTCGCTCCACCACCGGCCGTATTGCCATCAATGATTGTTAGGTATTGCTCATAAATATACCAGTAAAGAGGACAGGAGATGGAGCGGAGTGAGCGAAGCGAACGCAGCGAACATCAACTGTCCTTACAAAGAAAGTCTCGTTGTGGGGTTAATTTTGTAATTATGTACCAGGTTTTCTATTATAAATTGAGATGTAACCTAGACCTAAAATATCATTGAATAAAATTCTAGCGCCGCCTAGGCACCGAGGACGTAAGCACATTGCCGAACCTCGTAAAATTCTCGTGTTCTTTCGTTTTCTTTACCCGTTTTCGTCAACAATTGGTATCAGATGTCAGGAGCAAAATTCGAAGTCGCGAAATTCGATGGTCAGGGTAACTTCGGATTATGGCAAACGAGGGTGAAGGATCTATTGGCGCAGCAAGGGATCTTGAAGGCTTTGCGACCTATAAAGCCGGCGTCGATGGATGAGGAAAATTGGGAAGAATTACAGCAGCGAGCGGCAGGAACCATACGATTATGCTTGGCGGACGAGGTCATGTATCACGTCATGCATCTATCGTCTCCAGACGAAATTTGGAGGAAGTTGGAAAGTCAGTTTATGTCCAAATCCTTAACGACAAAACTGTATCTGAAGCAGCGGCTGTATGGGCTGAAGATGCAGGACGATCAAGATTTGGCGCAACACGTGAATGTCTTCAATCAAATCGTTTCTGATCTGGCTCGGCTTGATGTGAAAATTGAGGATGAAGACAGAGCGATGATTCTGTTGTGTTCGTTGCCTTCCTCTTACGAACACATGGTGACTACTCTTACATATGGGAAAGAGACTATCAACGTTGAGGAGATTACTGCAGCCTTGTTGGCTCACAACCAGCGGAAGCAGAATGCAGGGGAAAGCTCTCAAGCCGATAGCTTATATGTCAAGGGTAATCGAGATCGTGGACGGAAGCCAGAGAAGGCAGGGTCCGGGAAGCGGAATTCCAGATCCAAATCCAGGGATAAGAAGACGATTCAGTGTTACAAGTGCAAGGAGGCGGGACATATGAAGCGAGACTGTCCGAAGTTGAAAAAGCAGACTGATGAGAAGCGTGATGGCTCATCTAAGTCTGTGAACGTGGTCGAGGATGATACTTCTGATTGCAGTGAGGGTGATATGCTTTCTATTTCAACGACACAATTGACGGATGCTTGGATTCTTGATTCTGGATGTTCTTATCACATCACGCCAAATAGGGAATGGTTTTCGACATACAGGCCGGTTAATTCTGGTTCGGTTTATTTGGGTGATGATCGATGTTGCAATATTGTTGGTATTGGTGATGTCAGAATTAAGATGCACGATGGCTCCGTTCGGACGTTGAGTGGTGTTCGACATATCCCAGACTTGAAGAAGAATTTGATTTCCTTGGGCACTTTGCACAAGAATGGTTTTATCCCTAAGGCTGACGAGGATAGGGAAACCATTCGGATTGTTAAAGGAGCATTGACTGTGATGAAAGGCAAGATGACTGCAGAGAATATCTACAGATTGTTAGGGAGTACCGTTGCAGGTGGAGTTCACTCTGTTGAGTCCTGTGATGATACGACAAAATTGTGGCATATGCGCCTTGCTCATCTTAGTGAACGTGGTATGGCAGAATTACACAAGAGAAACTTGTTGCATGGTGTCAAAAGCTGTAAGCTCGATTTTTGCAAGTATTGTGTTCTTGGTAAACAGACTAAAGTCCGTTTCAAGACTGCGAAGCACACAACTCAAGGGATTCTTGATTATGTGCATTCTGATGTATGGGGGCCTTCCACGACATCGTCTTTGGGTGGATCTAGGTACTATGTTACTTTTATTGATGATTTTCACGGAAAGTTTGGGTGTATTTTTTGAAACAGAAATCTGAAGTTTTTGAGAAGTTCAAGCTGTGGAAAGCTGAGGTAGAAAACCAAACAGGACGAAAAATCAAGTGTTTGCGGTCTGACAATGGTACGGAGTACACAGATTCACAGTTCCTACAATTCTGTAAGGAGCATGGGATTCAGAGGCATTTTACAGTGCGCAAGACACCACAACAAAATGGTGTTGCGGAACGAATGAACAGGTCGTTGAATGAAAGAGCCAGATGTTTGCGGTTGAATGCGGGGCTTCCCAAACACTTCTGGGCTGAGGCTGTTAACATGGCGTGTTACCTTATCAACAGATCTCCAAGGGTATCGCTGGCTGGGAAAGTTGCAGAAGAGGTATGGACTGGTCATGATGTTAGTTTTGATAACTTACGGATTTTTGGTTGTCCTGCTTATGTGCATGTACCTGCTGATGAGAGATCCAAACTTGATGCAAAATCGAAGGAGTGCATTTTTCTGGGTTACAAGAAAGGTGTCAAAGGATTCAAGTTCTGGGATCCAGTTGCGAAGAAAGTTGTGATTAGTAGAGATGTCGTTTTTGATGAACAATCCATGTTGCAGCAGAAGCAAGACACGACAGTGGTGGATTTCGAGCAGTTTCCAGTTGAGAAACCAGAAACTTCTCAACCGACTTCTGGTGGTTCCACTACGGATGATTTGCAGGATTATAGTCTCGCCAGAGACAGGGTGAGACGGACGAATATAAAGCCTCCGAACAGATTGGGTTTTGAAGACTTGGTATCTTTTGCACTTACTGTTAGCAGTGATGATCCAGTTACTTTTCATGATGCCGTTACTAGTCAGGAAAACGATAAGTGGATGGCAGCCATGGTTGAGGAGATGGAGTCTTTGAATCACAATCGCACATGGGAGTTAGTTCCCCTTCCTGAGGGTAAGAAGCCGATTGGTTGCAAATGGATGTATAAGAAGAAACCAGCAGTAACAGAAAAAGAGGGGGAGAAGTTCAAGGCTCGTTTGGTAGTGAAGGGTTTTTCACAACAGAAAGGAGTTGATTATGATGAAATCTTTTCTCCTGTGGTCAGGCACACTTCAATCCGAGCAGT